ACCATGGAGGGGGAAATTTTTTCTAGTGCTCTACGAGATTGTTAATAACTTTGTAATTAACCTTTTTAAATATTTTTTAATAAAAAATATTTTTTAATAAAAAATATTTTTTAATAAAAAATATTTTTTAATAAAAAATATTTTTTAATAAAAAATATTTTTTAATAAAAAATATTTTTTAATAAAAAATATTTTTTAATAAAAAATATTTTTTAATAAAAAATATTTTTTAATAAAAAATATTTTTTAATAAAAAATATTTTTTAATAAAAAATATTTTTTAATAAAAAATATTTTTTAATAAAAAATATTTTTTAATAAAAAATATTTTTTAATAAAAAATATTTTTTAATAAAAAATATTTTTTAATAAAAAATATTTTTTAATAAAAAATATTTTTTAATAAAAAATATTTTTTAATAAAAAATATTTTTTAATAAAAAATATTTTTTAATAAAAAATATTTTTTAATAAAAAATATTTTTTAATAAAAAATATTTTTTAATAAAAAATATTTTTTAATAAAAAATATTTTTTAATAAAAAATATTTTTTAATAAAAAATATTTTTTAATAAAAAATATTTTTTAATAAAAAATATTTTTTAATAAAAAATATTTTTTAATAAAAAATATTTTTTAATAAAAAATATTTTTTAATAAAAAATATTTTTTAATAAAAAATATTTTTTAATAAAAAATATTTTTTAATAAAAAATATTTTTTAATAAAAATTTTAATAAAAATTTAGGGTAATAATCTTTAATGTATACCCTTAATAAAATAAAAAAAAATCCGACCCCCACATTCCTTTATTTTCCCTGTCAAAAAAATTCCCGAAAATCACCTCGTTTTTTCGATCATCACAGTGGTGTTCTCCCTTAATATTTAAAATTTTAAAATTTTACATTTTCATTATTCACTGAGGAAAAATACGATTATTAAAAAAATTTTCTTGATACAAAATTTCATGTTCTTGAAAATTTTCAAGAATATATATTCTTAACTCAAGAACTTGTTAAATTGATTGAAAAAATTTTACTTAATTTAAATAAAGCTATTGGCATTTAAATTAAATAATAAATAAATAAATAAAAATTAATCTAATAGAATACTCTTATTGTAGTTCAAGAAAACCGGAAATAAGAGCGATTTAATGTTCAATAATTCTAAAATAGTCTTGATGATTGGAATAGTTTTAACTGTACCGCTATTTTAAGTACTTATTGTACTTAATAATATATAGAAGTTGTATTATTTTGTAGGAAAATTGGTAGCGTTTCTACGTAACCGTTTCCGGTTGATATCGACTTAAAAGGTCACGACCACTCCAAGGTAGCCTGATTAGCTCTAACTGTATTGTATCATGTTATCGTCGAAAATAATTTTTAATTATTTTATTAAATGTTTTCTAAATAATATTTAAAATATTCAACACAATCTAGTTCTAAAAACTGGAAATGATATTTTTTATATTTTATACTAATGTGTCAACATGATTAGTGGTTTAATAAATTAATAATTACATTAAAAATAAAACCGATAATTTACAGGCTTAAAAATGTATTAATTTAGAATGCAAATTAATTTTTTGCATCCAAAAATAAAAAAAAAGCTACTCGAGAAATAAAAAATTGATCAACTAAATTTAATCAATATTGATTTTTTTTTTTTTTTTGAGAATAAGGATAAAGTTTGGGGAAAAAATAAATTAATTATATTTATTTCGTGGAAATAATTTTGATTATCAATCAAGTCTGAGAAGAAGGTATCGAGCCAACATAAACTTAATCAACTTCAATTAAAATTACTGGGACTTGATAAACTTCTATTAAGCTCAATCTACTTAAACTACAATAATGAATTACCGTTAATTTAATTAAATCTAAATTAACCAATATACTAACAAGAAGAAAGTTTATTATGATAAAACGTGGGAGGACGTTCTTTATTTAATATTCTTCACGTTCAATAGATCTACCATTTTTTTACGCTTACAATAAATAATTACGAACTCAAAAAAATATTTATTTAATCTAACAAGATCAATAAAGAGTATTAAAATAATTTTAACTTGAATAAATTTTTTCTTACTACGCTGGTCGAAAGTACGGGTTCCCGCTGCGATTTCACTGCAGAAAGCCTCACATTTATGCCGTGGTCAAGTCGCACATGCGCTCTACGACGGGGAGCCGAAAAAATGTATTCATGCACTGACAACGAGTCACGAGGCGGCAGAAATTCCAAAATCGGGTAGTCGCGCTCACTCTATTACTTATGTATACAAGCCTAACCTTACTTGTGATTGTTATGAATGTATCTGTCTTGTTATGTGTCAATGATTT